ATGAAATAGCCTTGTATAAAGAAATCAAATTTGTAATTGAACAACAAGAACAAAAAAATCACTCCCGGACCAGATAGTTTCACTAGTGAGTTATAACATATGAATAAAAAATAATACTAATCTGACACAAACTCTCATAAAATAGCAGACTTGGGAACACTTTTCAGCTCATTTCATGAAGGGCAGGCATGGAAAATACAAGAAAAGAAAATTACAGCCAATATATTTCGTGAAAATAAATACAAAAATGCTCTACAAAATATTAGCAAATGAAATCCAGCAATATATTAAAAAGTTAATATACAAAGATCAAGTTTGACTTTTCCCAGGAATGCAAGGTTAGCACTGTCAACAAAATAGACCGAGAAAAATATTGCAACACATATATCTGACAACAGGTTTGTACCCAAAAGATATTAAACATTCCTGCAGGTGGGGAATTTAAAAACCACCAACAACAATAATTTTTGCCTTAAGATTCAGTAATCCTGCTGCTAGTTATTTATTCAAGAGAAATAAAAACATATGTGTACACAAAGTCTTTTACAAGGATTTGTACAGCAGCTTTATTCATAAATACCCAATTATAATTTTCAGTCAATAACTGAAATTTACAGTCACCAATATAGATTTTAACACTATTGTCTCAGTAATAGATAAAACAATTAAATAAAAATCAGTATAGTTATGGATGATTTGAACAACACTAACCATCAATGTAAGCTAATTAACATTAATAGAAAATTATTCCACACTAGAGCAAGTTACAACTTCTAAGGTGCACATGGAATACTCAAAAAGATAGACCATATCCTGGGCCATAAAACAAGTTACAATACATTTCAAAGTATTTAAATTAAACAATGTGTTCTCCAATGATGATAAATTAAATTATTAAATTTAATGAAGATGAATAAAAATAATATGTTTTCATAACTGAAAACAACCCAGATATCCTTCAACAGGAGAGTGAATAAATAACCTGCAGTGTCTCATTCAGTGGAATACTAAGCAATAAAAAGATATAAACTATTGATACATGCAACTACCTGAATTAATTTCAAAAGTTATTATTTTGAGTGAAAGAAACTTGACACAAAAATTACATATTGAGTTATTCCACTGATACGATGTTCTAGAATAGTTAAAACTAATCTGTGGTGATAGAGATCTACCCATATATAGACAGGGTAGTGGTAGGGCATTGCCTGGGAAGAGTAACCAGGGAACTTTCTGGGATGATAGAGTTGTTCTGTGTGTCTTTATATGCACTTCTCAACACTAATTAAAGGCTACTGAGTTAGTCCATTTGCATTGCTCTAAAGGAATACCTAAGGTTGGATGATTTATAAGGGAAAAAAGTTTATTTTGGCTCATGGTTCTGCAGGCTGTATGAGAAGCATAGTGCCGGCATCTGCTTCCAGTGAGGCCTCAGGGAGCTTTTTACTCATGACAGAATGCATAGTGGCAGCAGGTGTGTCATGTGGCGAGACAGGCAGCAAGAGAGAGAATGAAGAGGTTCCAGACTCTTAAACGAGCAGATCTCACCAGACTCTTAAACAAGCAGATCTCACCAGACTCTTAAACAAGCAGATCTCATGTGAACTAACTGAGAGAAAATTGCCTCATCACCAAGGGTATGGTCCTAAGCCATTCATAAGGGATCCACCCCCATGATGCAAACACTTCCTACCAACCCGTACCTCCAACGTTGAGGATTACATCTCAACATGAGATTCATAGAGGATAAATATGCAAACCATATCAGGTACCCTTAAGATCTGTGTATGGTCATCCTTCAGTCTTCTCAGGGGATTGGGTCCAGGACCCACCCTCCCCACAGTATACCAGAATTTGTGGATGCTCAAGTCCCTGATGATATTAAAGTGGTGTATCCTATGCACATCCTCACATATAATTTAAATCATCTCTAGATTACTTGGAATACTTAATACAACATAAATGCTGTGTAAAAATTTGTTATACTATATTTTTATTTTTTATTATTTGTATTTCTGCATTGTTATTTTGTATTTTTTTCTGAATATTTTGATTCAAGATTGGCTGGATTTGTGAATGAGGAACGAGCAGATATGGAAAGATGACTTCATTTCGCTGAATTTCAATTTTAATTGCATTTTTAACAAAGTGAATTACAATGCTTACCCATGTTTGAACATTAGAGTGCACTGTTTTCAGAAATGGTATGACAGGTTAAGAATATTATAAGTCACAAGAAGCATGATAGTGAGAACTGGATTCATCATCATATAGGACTAGCAAGAAGAACAGGGTGGTGTTAAATACATTTTAATGGAAGGGCAGAATATTAGGGATAATGTTCTTTCAGTAGCTCCACCTCCCTCACCCCTCAAATTTCCCTCAATCATTTGCCAAAACCTAAGTTTCTATAAAATAATGGGAAATAATTATCTTACTTTGCAACTCAAAATAAAAGAGCTTAAAATATAAATGCGTGATTAAGATAATACTTTAAGATAAATGAATTTTATTCTTAATCAGTGTATGGATGCAAATAAGCACTGATCTTTCCTGTTACTGGTAATATAGAAAGAAGAGAAGGAAGTAGCAGTCCAATTTAACACACATTTACTGAGAGTGTAACGTGTACTAAATCAGTGGTTTTCAAGCTTTTGTTACTGTGACCTTTAGTAAGAATTGCAATTTATATTGCAACCCTGTATGTAAGTACATATGTATAACTAAAGCAGTGTTATAAAATAAAACATGTACTTGCTAAATAAGATGCAGTCTAGTATTTACTAGACTAGTATAGTGTGTTTCATGTTTACAAAAATGCAAGTCATGATGCATTAATTTCACTACCTGCTAAAACGTTGTGAACTGTGGTTTGAAAAACACAGTGCTATTCTTTCTACTCAAAATGTGGTCTGTGGACCAACAGCAGCAGCATCTGGGGACTTTAAGAAATACAGAACCTGAGACCATACCTTGCACCTAATGAATCAGAATCTGCATTTTAACTAAACTTCCAGGTGCTTCCTGTGTGCTTTAAAGCATCAGAAGCCCTGTGCTAGATGATGCCTGAGGAGGGTGCTCTGGACAGATGAAGCCTTCTTGGTATTGTTTAAGGCAGAGATTCTTCCTCGGAGATAGTCTGTATTCAGAACAGGCATATTCAAGCGCCCAGCTAAGTCCAATTCAGTATCACCAAGGATATCTCAGGGCATTTTTATTTAAAAAAAAAAAGAAAAAAAAAACATATTAACAAACAAGATCCACGAAAGCCTCTGAATCAGATCCTGTTTAAGAACCACTGGTATAAAAAGTGAAATGAAAGTTGAGCACTGATTAAGTCCTTTTTTACTATTATACAAAGGCGCAAACCTATGTTTCCAGTAATGTGGAAAGATTTTATTTTATATTTCTTTGTGGGTGACTTCATAGAAAGGCACTTTATTCACACAATACTTATTGATGGGGGTATTCCCACTGCTTCTTTTGAATGTACTTCTCCTTATCGGAGAATTTCCAAACATCTCCATTTTACCAATAATTGCCCTTTTATAGAAATGTAATGTGACTTCTGGTAGAAATATTATTATTAGTCCTGCTGAGATAGCAAAATTTATCCCTGGATGACCTCCAGTCGATCCCTTACCAAAGATCTCAACTCGTGAAGAAAATGGGGCTGTCTCTAAGTGGCCATCACCGTTCATTAAGGTCCTTGCCATTGTGTTCGTATCTTTCCTGAGTAATGGGAAGTTTTAGTCTGGAAGTTGCTAATCTTGCTAACACTAAAAGGCTTTCTCCCATTAGCAGCTTCTGTGTTGCATTAATAATAAGAAAGTAATACAGAGACCGACCTCAGCTGTTCAGTCTCCCCTGAGATGAGGCCCCAGCTTCCCTCTTATCCCGGTGGTCCACTCTAATGGTCTTGCCTATATTAAAGTAGTAGAGTGGATAATAAGATAAGTGCTGTTTATTTTATCAGAGTCTAAAATTCCTTCTTCCTGTTGGGGAGGACACGTTTTTTTTCTTAAGACATCCAAATTGAAAACTATACCATCAATACTTTTGCAATTGAAATTGACCTATTTACTTCATACTGTTTTAAAAATGTAAGTGTTGACTATCAAGCACAGGAAAAAAAATGTTTTAGAAAAAATAAATCCCTCCACCTTTCTTGGAAGAGTTACAAAACAGATAACTCTCCTAGGGATGTCTTCTTGTCCTTTTTTGAGTAAATCAAATTACTCATCTGAACAGCAGGAGATTAAAGAAAACTAAAGATCTTTGATTTTATAAGTATTAAAAATTCTTGTTAATAACCAAAGAAGAAATGAAGAGAAAATAACATATTAAAACAAAGTAAGTAAGACTTTAACCCTCTAACAAGGAATCACTGTGATTAGCTCTATGCAATACTTATGTGAGATTCAATAAATGACAGTAAAAAACAACTAAAAGCTATTTTATAAAAACTTATAATCAACATATTTTTTCTTGTAAGTACTTAACTGTTTGAGGGAAAAAATGTGGGCATATCTAATAAATCAGGGATGCTCATCTAAATTTTTAAAAATTATACATGAAAACTTTCTTTGGACCAAAAGTTTCGTAATCTGGAAATAAGAAAATTCTAAATACGTTTCAGTAAAATAGACAGTAGATCTTTCCCCCAGAGAGGTGAAAATTTAACACCCTGTTAACTAAATAACTCTTTCATATGGTCTATTTATTAGGGAAATAATTTTGATGAATACAATAAACTCACGTTTGTTGTTTTATTTAGTGTGCAAAATGCGAACGTGTTCACCACATACCAATGGGAAGCATATTATTGTTAGAGTTGTCTTTAAATTGGAGGAAGAAAAGAGTTGCTTATGACATTCTTATGAAGCTTCAATAGCAGACAGGTCCATTGGGAAAGTAACAACTTTAATACAGAATTGTCCTGGGGTTGTAGATATAATGCACAATTATCTGAATTCGTTTTACTTTTTTCTGTCCTACAGTCCATGAAGGCTCTGGAGAAACTAGTCAAAAGGAGACATCCACCTGTGATATTTGCCAGTTTGGTGCAGAATGTGATGAAGATGCCGAGGACGTCTGGTAATATGCTGTTTTTATTCTTTTAGACAAAATAATGACAGTGATTAATTTCTTTTTAACGCCATCAACCATTCTGCAACAGAAGACATTGTCTGCATTTTTAATTTCTTATTCAGTTCCCAAGTGAAAAAAAAAAAAAAATGAGGGCTGTAATAACAGCAAGGAATTTCTGGAACTGGATTAAGAGGTGGGCCAGCCAAGCAGCTATCCATGGCATTACTTGATAAGGTACACTAAAATATCATTGAATCCTCCCAAAACTGTCAATGTTAGGCTATAGAGGGGAAAAAAGTCTTATTTACTAGAATGTCTTTGAAAAGGTATCATCAGGGCTGGGTGTGATGGCTCAAGTCTGTACTCCCAGCACTTTGGGAGGCCAAGGCAGAAGGATCGCTTGAGGCCAGGAGTTTGAGATCAGCCTGGGCACAAAGCGAGACCCATATCTCTACAAAAAAAAAAAAAAAAATTAATGAGCTGGGTAGGGTCGCACTAGCCTGTAGTCCCAGCTACTCAGAAGGCTGAGGTGGGAGGATCACTTGAGCACAGGAGGTTGAGGCTACAGTTAGCTGTGATCATGCCATTGCATTCCAGCCTGGGCCACAGAGTGAGACTTTATCTCAAGATATTTAAAAGGCATCATCAGGAAGCAATAGATGATCAGAGTTAGTTTGTTTGGGTTTCTATAACAAAATACCATAAACTGGGTAGCTTATAAACAAAAGAAATTTATTTCTCACCATTCTGAAGGCTGAGAAGTCCAAGATCAAGGCAGATTTAATGTCCGATAAGAGCTCACTTTCTCTTAAAATAACCTTCTTCTTACTGAAGCTTCACATGGCAAAAAGGGCAAGGGAGGTCTCTGGAGCCTGTTTTATAAGGGCACTAGTCCCATTCATGAAGGCTCCACCCCCATAACCTAATCGCCTCCCAAAGGTCCTACCTCCCAATACTATCATCTTGGAGGTTAGGATTTCACCGTATGAATCTGGGGAGGGGGACACCAACATTCAGATCATACCAGTTGCTAATCTGACTTCTAAGATGATGGAGTAACTGCTCTTATAAAGATATGTTCATCAAATAATGAATCATACTTATTATTTTGAAAGGGTGCCAACATTTTAGTCTTCTACTGTATTGGTCCCACCTTAAGCACATTGAAAAGTGAATAACTCAAACTTCTGAGGGGTTCTTTGTACCATGATAGTGAAAAGAAGCAGCCTCTTTTTTATTCCTTTCTTCTCTCTTCTGCTCCTCCCCTCCTCCTCTTCCTCTTCTTCTTCCACTTTCCTTCTTCTCCTCCTCCTCCTTTCCCTCCCTGTCTTCCTCCTCCTCCTCTTCTTTTCCTTCTCCTTTGTCTTCATCTTCCTATTATTATTACTATTATTTCTCTTTTTCCTTTTTACATATACCTAACCCTTTTCAGGAAAACATCTGGCTGCTCTTTATTTTCTTCAGTATGCAGACTGTGCTTGCCTAGAGCAGTTAACCATCATTTTGATCAAACTTTTATGAGTAGGGGGAAAATTCATCTAAGGAAAATGAAGAAAAAAAATTAAGACAAGATTATTTGGCAGTAGTAAAACAGTCTGCACTTAAAATATTTTTCAAGTGAAGATTCTATCTGAGTAAACGGTGGTTCTTAGGGTAAACTACATACTTACAAGTAAACACTGCCTTTGAATAGCCAAGTGAAATAAACATCTATTACTAAAATCAAACAGCAGAAGAGTTTTCATACCTGTCAAACACTTCTAGCCAGTGGGCAGCTGGGAGCCAAGTGAGAGAGTCTGTGCACTGGTTTGACCATCTTGAGGTAAACGAATGTATGTTTTTTATTGAGACAGAGTCTCACTGTCTTTTTTTTTTTTTTTTTTTTTTTTTTTTTTTTTTTGAGACGGAGTCTCACTCTGTCACCTAGGCTAGAGTGCAGTGGCGCGATCTCAACTCACTGCAAGTTCCACCTCCCGGATTGGAGAGATTCTCCTGTCTCAGCTTCCCAAGTAGCTAGGATTACAGGCGTGCACCACCATGCCCGGCTAATTTTTGTATTTTTAGTAGAGACAGGGTTTCATCATGTTGCTCAGGCTGGTCTCAAACCCCTGACCTCAGGTGATTTGCCCACCTCGGCCTCCCAAAGTGCTGGGATTACAGGTGTGAGTCACCATGCCCTGCCAACAAATGTTATGTTTTTTAAAAAACATCCTAGGTACCTTTATGGCTGATAAATTTGTGGTTCTCAAAACTGAGAGATTGCCAGAGGTACTATGAGAATTTTTTAAAACATACCAGTTATTTAGTTCTACCCCAAAATTAATGAATCAGAATTTCACAGAAGTGGGGCTTAAAATTTTAGTTTTCTAAAGGCCCCCGGGTGATTATGGAAATACTACTCTAAAATAAATTACTAATTCAAAGACTCTTTCTCCTTCCTAAATGCTTTAGGGCTCTTCTGTAGTCATAAGATCAAGACACACAAATAGGAAATGTATCCTTAAAATATTTTGTTTCTAACGTTTGTTGGTGACTGCATCTGTGTTTCAGCATCATTTTTTCAAACTGTCTTCTTGTAAATTATTTCACTTAAAAAAAAGTACATGAGTCTCTATCTTTTTTTAAGAATTTTAATTTTCTTAGTTCCTTATCTTTTTAATGATCATTCTTTAAGTGGTATAGCTCCACTTTCCAAGTACAGATATTTAAGACATGAACTTGTAAGAGCAGCTAAAAATTATTGGTTGCTTACAATGGGTTTTATCCATTTGTACCATTTGTATACTTTTTTTTTGTTCTCAGCTATCTTCAAAATAGCCATAGGAGGTAGATTCCATTATTATTTTACTTTAAAAAGAGAAAACTGAGTTTTAAAGTGATAAAGTGGCAGGACCAAGATGAAGACAGGAGGTGAAAGTAACTGAAGGGTGTTAGCATAACAATTCAACCAAAGATGCAATGGAAACAATATGTCTTTGCTGTCATGTCTAGACAATGAGATGGCCAGATTGCAGGCAGCATGTTTGCACTGACTCTCCAAGGCCTGCAAGGTTAGAGCTGGTCTAGGTAGATATTTGCAGCTGGAAGTGGGAAAACATCCAAGCAAGCAAGGGGTTAATCCTGGTATTCTTGCAGAAGTTCAGATCCATGGTATGAAGGCAGTATGAAGAGATACGGGCAAGGGTAGTGACACCAGAAAGGCTTAGTAGTTGTCTACAGGACCCAGCCATAGCAACTGTAATTCAGAAAATAAGTTCAGTTACAAATGGGACAAGGAGAAGGACAAAGCAGAACCTTAGTCATGGAGAAATTGGTGTCAATCAGAAAAACTCATCAAGAACTGAAATAGGAGAGCCTGGATAGATACTGGAACTGATATACAAAGTCAAGCCTTGGTTACAAGTGGCTGGGAGAAGCATAGCCTACATCTGAGAAATAAATTACAAGGTCAGAATGAAACCAGCAGCAACGCTGTCTGAATGCTAAATCAGTTAGCTTTTGGCTACGATATCTTGTATACTCCCAGCATAGGGACAAGATTAGCTCCAAAATGCAGAATAAGCCTGAACCTCCAGATGGGGGCTAAGTGGCCACGGCTGTGAAGATTAGAGGGCTGTAGGGGCAGGGAGCCAAGAAGATCATTAGACTTCCAAGGCAAGAACGAAAGTTATTAGTGTTTAAATAAAATGTATTTAAAATGTTCAATGTAAGCAATAAGGAATTGTGCTGAAATGACAAGTGCATTGATTTCCATTTACATACCTTGTATGTTAACATACCTTTGTATGTTAATATATTGTATTAGTCATGGCCATGAAGGGCAGATTGGAAACAGCTGAAGGACACAGGAATAAAGCAATGAGTGAAATTAAATAGGCATAGAATGAAAGGCTGTAAAGTAAGATAGGAAGCAATAGCGAAGCGATCTGACTGTAGTACCAGGCAACAGAACCTTCACTATATCAAGGGAGTGTTGATACACTATTGATTTTGGATGACACCATGGCCACGTTCTCTCAAACATAAAATACTACATATGCTGTGTGGCAACAAAGAGTACAACTTATTGTTTCAGTTTTTTCCTTTAACACTAACTAAACTATAATTTTATGTGTACAGATTTCCTTAATCCTGCACTATGAAGTAATAACAAGATGTGAATAACTGCTGACATGAAATAATGTTCTTACTATATCCACAATACTGAAACAAAGGTGAAAAATTAATTCCCAATCTTTCTTTAACCCTGGCCTAATAAGTTAATATTTTGCATTTTGCCACAGGGTTAAATCTAGTTATTCAAACATTCTTAAATACTTTCAAGATGAAGATAAATCTTTATTAGAATGCAAACGTGAGTACACGGTTAACTGATCATGTTTTCATAGTTAGATGAGTTTTTGAGTTCAGAAGAAAGTCACACTGGAGATGGGAACTTAAAAAAGTAATAAATAGGGGAAGGAGAAGGAGAATAAAATAAGAGGAGAAAAAGTAATAATCAGATGGCATTGACAAACTATGATACTAATGACATAACATTTTAATGCTTTTATTTTGAGAAAACAGATGGCTTGTAATCTAATATAAGACCCTAGTTTATGTTCTGTGATTTCATTTCAAGGTTTTTCTCTTGCATTTTTCTTATATGGAGAATATCAAGGCTGTAAAAAATCAGAAAATTTTAGGTTCTCTCAATAGGAAAGGAAGACCATGGCTACAAAATATTTTTTTTCAGTTATAGGTATTAACTTAAATGTAGGAAAGGATTGAGCTTCCAAAAGAGTGTTAAAATTCAACAGGATAAGTTATTCACGTGCCAGTACATCCATTCTCATAATAGAGGTATCTTTCATTAAGGAAGGACTTCAAAAGTAGCTGAAACACCTGTGTGAAGGGATGTGTGTGCCTGTTTATGGGAAGGGGTTAAGAGAAGAAGAAAGGGCTTAAAAGATCATTTCTCTTTATATCTAGACTGAAAACAGTCAAAACTAATACATTTATACATA